CGCCTGTAGGCAGCCAAGGAAGGGGCCTGGGCAGGACAGCCAGTGTGCGCCGCTGGGGACTCTGGAGCAGGCGCACAGCGCCAGAAACCTGCCTCACGTCTAGGAAAGCTGCCTGCACCCCGTGACGTTACCGGCTTCCTGGAGGCAGGGGGCTGGGAAGAAATCCTGGCGGAGAAATGAACCCCAGTGGGGGCTGGGGCTGCACAGCCTTCTGACACCCGATTCCGGAAGCTGCCGGCTTAGCCCCACAGGACAAGCCTTCAGGGTACTTCTGCAGAAGAGGCGCCCGGGGAAAAGTGCCGCCCAGGTCTACTCGAGACCGGGTGGGAGGCAGGGCATCAAAGCACAGCCGGCCTAGTTTTCTTGGAGGCCCTTTCTTTTCTCCTGCCACCTCACAACCGTTTGTAGGTGAACGGGCCAGCGTCTGCCCTGGCACCCAGCCAGGAGCCGTGCACACACAGGCGTGCACACTTCCAGGCATGTACGCACAGATCGCTGGTACCCAAAGCCCGGGAGGGTCTGCAGGCAGGGAAAGGTATCGGGGAGAGAGTGGGCGGGAAGCCGAGAGGCGGAGCCCGGCCGGCAGCCTCTGTCCAGCCTTGTGTACATGTGCCCGTCCCCGCGGTGTCCCCTGGGCCTGCCCAGCTGCGGTTTGGACCCCAAACGGGGATTTCTGTGAGGCTCACAGTTCTTGCTTTCTGACCCCATCAGGGTGACCCAGTAAGAGAGGTGTTTTCCTAGTGGCTCTGTGGAGTCTACATTTGGGTTGCTGGGGAAACGACCCTCTGGACAGGTCACTGGGCGGCGGGATGTGGACAACCGCAAGAGGTGGAGCAAAATTGAGTCTTCGAGATGGACAGGGCCATGCCTGGCAAAGCCTGCGGCCTCCCAGGGCCTCTCCAGAGAAGTTCAGGTGCCCAGCATGCACAAAGGAGAGGAAGCAGAGTGTGTGCCTAGCCCAGGCAGCGCGACGACCAGCGGCCTCTCTCAAGCTGTGCAGCCCTCAGCCCCGCTGGTCCGGCCTCCATCCCCATCGCCCGAGGTGGCCCAGCAAGCACTCGCAAAAAAGCAAGCAAACCCCACCGACCTTCGTGCCTCCTCCTCTGTCCCCAGCTGTCCCTTCCAGCGCCCACTCGGGGATCAAGTAGAACGTTGCGGGCTTTTTGGGGTGCCCTCGGGCTCTGGCGTGCCAGGAGCTGGCCAAGGGGACGTCCTGGCTCAGAATGAGCACCCAGTGGCGGGGGTGGGGGGCAGTTTATATCTGTCTTGCTGTTGTTTGATGTACACACACTTGCTCTATTTACTACCAAATAAAAGAAATACATCTGTGTTGCCAACAGAAACAGCCCCAGCGCTGGCTCCGCGATCTCCCAGGGCCCAGAGGTGCTTGTGGGTGCTCAGAGCCCCAGAGCCTGCACTGCAGGGAACCCGCTCCCAGTGAGGCCCTGGCTCCTACGCGGGTGGCTGTCCCTTGTGGGGTTTTGGCAAGCTCCCCCAGTTCATCCCTGGTGGCTTGTGAGGAGGGAGCGCGAGGCATCCCTGCCGAAGGGTTTCAGGCTTGGAGCAGCCGACGCAGGAGTGCTACCCTGCTCCCTGCCCCATCCTTCCCATAAGACTTTCCCCAGCTGCCCCAGTAACGTGGAACAAGGTGTGCCTGACCAAGTGCTAACGACGGCTGTGATGCTAAACATCTGTGGGCAGGTGCACCGGGAGTCCCTGATACAGTGTCTGTCAGGAGGTCTAACCACATGTGTGTTGTGCTCAGTGCACCCTACACGTGTGTGTCTGTGTAATGCATCAGGGATTTAGCTGGGAAGCAATGTCCTGTGCACTGACTTCCAGATTAATTGGGGTGCGGACAGGACAGGGGAGGACCTGAAGTTAGGGAGGAGAAGAGGAGGCTGGATTCCACCTCTGAAGAAAGGGAGATAAAGGATAAAGTCGGGGATGTCAGCCCTGCGTCCTGGGGTAGGAGCACCGGCTTCCTTGGGCGGAGCGTTGGGGGAACTGGGTGGAGGCCCCTTCACTTTTTCGGGCAGCCCCTCTGGTGAGTGGTTTCAGCAGCTCCCCACAATCCTTCGCAGAGGCAGCCCGGAGGGCACGTTCTGTATGGGGGGCGATGACTCCGATCAGCTGTCCAGATGTGACAATTCCACCCACTGCTTTTTGGCCTCTCCTGACACGAAGGCCTCAGAAAGACCTGCAGTGGGACTTGGATGCTTCCAGCCTGGAGTAGCTGGGTGGCTCCGGAGTCTTAACCCTGGCTCAGCCCCTTCTCTTGCACTGTGAGAAATGCCAGGACCCCCGGGGGCCAGGCTTCCAGGCGCGGGCAACCGCCAGCCCCAGGCGGCCTGGGCACCACCTCTTCGCCCCAGGCCAGCACCGTGGCTCTTGGGAGAAATGTCCAGCGAGGGTGACAGGGCTCCTCCTTAGGAGGGAAAGCAAAGCCTCAGGGGGCAGGACAAAGGGTAAACTGAGCGTGTGAAGAACCAGTTATTTCTCGACTTTGTAAAGACTGGTCAGTCAAGAACCGTTTTCTAGAATCCAAACACAAATAAAGTATTTTCTTGGCGTTTGATAACATCGTGTCCTGGCTGTAAAATCTAAGGACGTGTTTGCTATTGCAACATTATTTTTAATGAGTTGTATTGGCCTGTCCCGCAGTTAGTATTGCCAACAGTAGAAGGCATCACTATGTTTGCAGGTAACACAAGGAACAACATATTTTGACCCCGAATTTCTGTTTATTTTTCATTTACGACACATGCCCTCGTTTTTATTCCAAACCAGAGGGAAATAAAGGGAGATCTATCTTCACTGAGGTCCAGGCTAAAATTTTGCCATAAATACTCATGCCAGTGTATTGGGGTAGTTTCCCATCAATAGGAAACGATACTGACTTTTCAGCCGTAGTGGAATCGTTTGTGTCGATTGGGTCCGAGGAACCTAGCGGAGCACTGGAAGAGGGGCTGGGAGCCGGGCAGGCGCCCCAGCGGACACGCCCTGCGGTGTGCAGTCCTCGCCCTCTCGGTCCCTCATCTCCCCTTCCGGCTCCCCAGCCTCAAACGTGCCCGGCCGGAGCTGGGCGTGCAGACCGCTCTAAGGCAGGGAGCCGCGCCCGAGCACCTGCTCCTGCCGCGGACCGGTGCTTCCCAGAGTCCGGAGCGCCGCGCCCCCGCAGGCCGCCCATCGCGAGCGGGGTGGCCCGGCGCCCAGCAGGCGCTTGGGAAGGGCGAGCGGTCTGCTTCTAGGCACCGGCGGGGAGGAGGCATGGGGACCTAGAGAGGCCGCCGGTAACGTGTTGGGCGCCAGTAGGCAGAAAAAGGCCCGGCCGGGAGGAAACCAGGTCCTTTCGGTTGCCCTCTGTCCCCGGGCACTAGACACATCTGGACCGCGCTCACACCCGAGCCACGCCAGGAGCCACCGTTGCTCCAGGACTGCGGAGGCCGCCCTGTCCCTCGGCTGGTTGGCCTCCCCGGGCTGCCCTCTCGCGGCCCGGCCTTTCCCAGGCTGACTTAGCGACCCGCCTGTGGCCGCAGCTAAACTCCCACTGCACTTCCGTCCTCCCTTCCCCCACCCCCGGAGTCCGCCGCGCTCCGGCCCGCTGCCCCGGGCCCAGGGAGGTCCTGCCCAGAAGCTCGCGGCTCCGGAAGGACCGGGTTCTGGGAGCGAGTAGGCTGCAGCCCTGCGTTCGGCAACGCCAGCTGTCCCTGCGCTCCCGCCGTGGCTTCGCCCCCTTTCGCAACCTCGACAAGCCCAGGTTCGCCCTCAGCCCGTCCTTCTTCCCCACTCGCCGGGCGTTTAAAGCCGCGAGAGACACCGGGGAGAGAGCAGCCGCCGGCGCGAACAAAGCCGCCTTTGTCCCCGCCGCTGCGGGATCAGGAGGCTGTGCGTCCAGGTCGGACTCGCGGGCGCGGAGGCGGCGGGCCGCCGGGCAGCAGTTGCAGGGACACCTGGTCTCGGGAAACCGCTCGAAGTTACACACGCGGGCAACACGGAACGCTTCGCTTTTCTTTTTAATTAATTCAGTTTCACCACAACATTAAGTGTAACAACATTTTGTTTCTTTTTCTCTCGTTTTTTGTTTTTTAAAAAGGGGACTGAACCCGGACAGAGGGGGGCGGGCGGGGGCGGGGCAAACTATCGCAGAACAACAGGTGTAGCAGACTGAAAGAAAACAGATCAGATCGGGCGGCAGAGCCAGAAGCTCTTCGGAGCTGAGGGTGAACTTTACAAGAAATCTGTACATTTATCAAATAAGTTAAAATTCTCCTAAATTGATTGTCCTTCACTTAAAGCGCTCCAGTACCCTATCTCACTCCTTTGAGCATTGCTACCTGGCCTTTCCTCCCCCCCTCCCCCCGTCTCCTCAGTTTTCTCTTCCTGAACGAATGGCCGGGAGTACACAGCAAAAACGGCTGCCTTTCTCGGTGGACGGACAGCGGGGCTCGCAGGACACTTTGTACAATATTGCACAGGTCGGAAGTACAACAGTTACTGCCGAATGAAAAGGTGGGGCGGAGGAGAGGAGAATACATACGGGGCGGTAGTTGTGTTTGAATATTGAAATCACTCCCTAGAAAGGGACAGAGTAATAATAGGAATAATAATAATTTACCAACCAGTGAAACTCCAAAAATAAGTTCCCCAAATGCCACTAATAAATAAGACCACGCACACCGGGCCAGATGTGGGGCCCTTTCAATAACCAGGCGTCTGATTCTGGGCTGTCTTGTTTCTTCCCCTCAAACACTGAGAGAATCCCTCTGCCACAAAGTCGGACAGACGAAGTGGTCCAAGGAGGCAGACCTCTGCCAGAGAGAAACGCAGCCCGAGTGGGGATGTTTATGAGGCTGCTCAGATTTTGAAAATTGGGGAGGATAACGGATTGGGGGTGGAAGGAAGAATCACACCCAGAAATCCAGAAATAAAAGTACTACAATGTGACTTCTCTCTCTCTCTCCCCTCTCTCTCCTTCTGAAAAGAGTTCTATAGAAACTGAACAAACGAGAGGGGTTCAGGTTTTTGCGCTCATTTTCCTGCTATAAAAATAAAACCAAAAGCCACAGCGCGATGCAAATCGGGTGGGAGGGCTGCTCACGTTCCAAAAGCTTTCGGCCGAAATACTGGACCCGGGAATGGTATCTTTCCCCTGTTCTCTTAATAGAAGCCAAAACCAAAAGTAAGGGGGGAAGCGCCTCAAATCCATTAGGGGTGAATTGCACGAAAATGCATTGCAAATACTTACAAACCGCTACCGATTGGGGGAGGGGAGGCCGGGGCAGCGCGCCGACGCCCCGGTTCCCGAAGGCCGCTGGACGTCTCGGCGCCCTCGGCCCGGCCCAGTCTCCTCCGGGGTCTGGGAAGGGGGCCGGGCGCTCCCTCCTCCTCCCCTCTCGGGCCTCAGACGGGCCGTAGCAGCGGCACGGACGAGACCACCGGGTGCGAGTAGTAGACCGGGTGCGGAAAGGTGAGCAGCGGCTGGCTGACGGGCACCTGGGCGCCCGCGGCCGCGGCCGCCGCGCCGTCGGCCGCCGAGTTCTCGTGGTAGAGGATGGGCACCCGCACGATGCGCTGCGCCGCCGCGTGGCTCAGGTTGGCCGCCTCCAGCTCGGCCGCCAGCTGCCGCTTCCACTTGTTGCGGCGGTTCTGGAACCAGATCTTGACCTGCGTCTCGGTCAGGTGCAGCGAGGCGGCCAGGCCGGCGCGCTCCGAGCTGCTCAGGTAGCGCTTCATGTCGAAGGTGGACTCGAGCTGGAAGACCTGGCTGCGCGAGAAGACCGTGCGCGTCTTCTTCTTGCGACACGCCGGCTTCTTCTCGGGGCTCTCGGCGCCCTTCTTCCAGTCCTCGGCGCCCGGCGCGGCCGCCGCCCCTCCGCTCGCCCCGGCCGCGGCGGGCGCCGCCTCGCCCTCCTTCCTGCCTTCCTCCGAGTCGCTCTCCTCCAGAATGATCTCGTCCGGGCTCTTGGAGTCCAGCTCCTTTGGGTCGGGGTCGGCCTTGAGCAGTGGCTCGGGGGAGTCGCGGTCCGTGCCCGAGGCGGGGGAGGAGTCTCGCAGGAGAGCTTTCTCCGTTGCTGGGGAGAAAATGACAGACAGACGGATGCACACACACCGACGCAGCGGACAGCGAGACCCGCGACTGGGGGCCGCAGGCTCCGTCAGCGTCACCTCCGGATCCCAGGCCTCCAGGCCTCACCATTCTCGCCGGCCTCCTCCTGCCCGGCTGAGCCAGAATAGAGGCTCGGCACCCTGGATCCCTCTCCTCCCGAGGACAGGCGACAGAGCCCCACAGCCGCAGAGCCGTCGCTCCCTCTCTTTCCTCCTACATCCCCACCAGGAGCCCACGAAGAGATCTGCCTCTGGCTTGGGACCGCCCGCGTCACTCCCTCTCCCCAGGCCAAATCCCCAGTCCCAGCCTCCAAAAGCCTCCCCCGTTCATGCCCTCTTTCCCCGGGAAGAGCCGTGCCCCGGGTTCCAACTCCACTTTTCTCACCAAGAGGGATTACACTCCCGGGCAGTGCAGCCGAGTGGACGGCTGGGAGGTGCGGGTCAGGGGCCAGAAGTTGCCCAAACAGCGGGGCGGAGGGTGCGGGAGTCCCAGGGCTGTGGTGGGACGCAGTGCGGGGCAGGGATGGGACAGGCGCGAGGGGAGGACAACGAAAGTTCAAAGAGCGGTCGGTACCTTCTGGTCGCGGGAGATGGCCACCGGCGGGGGTCAGGGTGTAGGGGTACCACCAGGCCGGGGAGCGCTCCAGGTAGTGCGCGGGCAGGGCAAACCTCTGCGCCGGGATCTCAAAGCGGGGGAAAGCCAGGTCGCCCACCTGCGAGAGCGCGAAGCCTGCAGCACCCTCCAGGGCCCCCTTGGCCGCAGCGGCAGCAGCGGCGGCGGCAGCGGCGGCGGCAGCCGAGGCCGGAGCGAAGAGCGTCCGTGGGGGTGGCTGAGGCTTAGGGGGCGGCCGGTGGTGGTCTCCGTTGAGCAGGTTCTTGATGGAGAACGGGGACTCCTTGGGCGCGGGAGGCGGGGGCGGCGGCGGCGGGGGCTGCGCGCTAGCAGTGCCGGGGGCGTCCGGCCCAGGCTCCGGCATGGTCCCCTCTCCTCCGGGTCCCCGCGAGGGAGGGAGTGGGACAGGCGGGCGGCCGGGCAGGCTGGCGGGTGGCCGGAAATCAGACCATAAACGGAACTCAACTACGGGGCGCAAAGTCGAGGGCCGCCCCGGGCGGAAAGCCAGCGGCAGGAGGGCGGGGTGAGGACTCGGCCGGGGCGGGCTCGCATGGGGAGGGGTGCTGAGGGGCGGGGAGCGGCTCTGCCGCGGCACCGAGGGAACAAGGCGGCTCGGCGGCGGCTACAGCTCCCGGGGAGGAGGCGGCAAGAGCTGTCCCCGGCTTGGGGCTGCGTCAATCCGGCGCCGGATGCTAATGATGAAATCAAAATGTCATCCAAGTTAAATGCGGGGAGTATACGGCGATTGGGCGCGTACAATGGCAAATGGGATTAGGCAGGCGAAGGCACAGCCGAGTCCGGGCCCCGCAGCCGCCTCTGCCACCGCCCCCTCCTCGCCTTCCCTAGGATTTTGGCGCTTTGGCTTCGGGCTATAAGAACCCGCCAGTTATTGGCTTTATATAGTCCAATTAGGCAGCAAATGAGGACAAGCCTATTAGCACAAAAGGATATTGGCTCCCGCTAAAGAGGTACTCTGGAGCGCTCCGGCGAGCGCAGGAGGCGAACGAGGGACTCAGAGCCGGCGGCGCCCCCGGCCGGGAGCGCACTGACTGCCGCGGCGCCCGGAGCCTGCGCCTGCCTCCCCCCCCCACCCTCGTGCACCCCCCCACCACCCCTTACCCCCTCCCCCCCCTCCCCCGCAGCTCGGGGACCAGCTTCCAGCCTCCTGGCTTGCGGGAGGGGGAAGGGGCGGGCCAGGCCCGCCCGGGTCACCTCCGGGTTATCCATGTTCGCAGCTGCCGCTCCCCGCCCCCAGGGGCTTGGCAGGGCCCGCCGCCCCCACGCAGCTGGAGAACCACTCAGCGCCAGCCCAGAAGGCAGGGCCCGACCTCTGGCCCCGGTCGAACTCAGTGCTTTCCTACCCTTTGCGGTCCGGCGGCCTCAGCATTTTACCCACTGCCTGCTAAGGGCGCGGCAACCAGGATTTGGGTTCCCAACCCACCGTCTGGTGGACAGGAAGGGAATGGGGTGTAAGTCCTCGCACCACATCAGCGGGCTCAGTTATCCTCCTGACCTTGGCCTTTGGCCCTGGGAAAGCGAAAGGTGAGCCTTACCCTGGCAGCAAGAGTGGGTGTGCATCTCTGCGCACCCGCGTGTGCGCGCAGAACCGGCTGACGCCCGCGCGTCACTCACTGGGGCCACTGGGGCAGCGGCGTCCTGGCACCGACAGCTACGCTCCGAAGGCGCTGTTGTCCACCGGCCACTTGGGCCCAAGCGTGACCATCAGCTAGGGCCCCGAAAACAGTACTTTCTCCCGGGAAGTCTCTCCAGCTGGCGCGTGGAGCTGCCTATAACGCTTTAACAGGGCTGAGAGCCGAAGGCACAATGGCTTACCTTCCTCGACTGTGGCTGTGTCAGGGGCGCCAGCAGTATGTCCCAAGGGCCTCTAAGTCCTTAGAGAACCCTGCTGGGCCTCTGAGGGGCAGCTGGGTGGACATTCTCTCTACTCCATCGGCTTTAAAAACAACTCCCCAGGCTGCACAATTCCATAAGGCAGGCATTTAAGACTCTAGATTTAAGCATCAAATAATCAGAATAGCTTGTGGGGTCCCTTTCCTAGAAACAGCTCCCTAGTCAGAGAAAGGTGGCAAAGGGACCATCATTCCTCACCACCGGTTGTGAGCTTCCCCACACCCGAGGTCTTTTTGTGGTCCCTTGGGCTCCCCATCGCCTTCTTTTTCCTTAGGTTTAGCGGTGGCCCAACTCAAGGACGCCCTGCGTTGGCAGATGCATGATTTGGTCCCCCGGTGAGAAGTGGGTATGTTTCATTTTCCGATCGGGGCTTCAAACCTCCCCCATCAAGTCTCAATGGGCGCATTGAACAGTTCTTTCAGCAAACATTCATCTACAGTAGTGAACCCTATTTTTGATTTGGGAACCTAGAAGCATTGTAGATGGTGCTTCCGTAAACAATTATTATTACTCTCATTATTATTACTCTCTTGAGTTTGTACAGGGCTTTACTGAACGCAAAACGCTATACAGTGATCTGAGTTGGAACCAATCACAGCCCTGAGGCTCGAGCAAGGTGGGTCTTATACTCGAGTTTTATAGATGGCAACAGGCTCCTGGAGAGGGGAGACCAGGCCAAGGTCACCCAACCAGTACTGGACACCCAGAAGTCATTTTCTCCCCAACTGCAGAGACGGCTGGATGCGCGCAGGTCTACGCAAATCTGTATCCGCCAGCCACGCGGCCCCGGATGTGGCGGAGAGGCCCCTGCGAGATCGCGCGCTTGTTGTTCGAGCTCTCGGTCCGAGGGGGATACGTGCAAAACTTTCCCAAAGTTCTGACGAATGGAAGTCGCCTTTAAAGTGAGACAACGCGAAAAGCTCCCGGGAAAAGGAAGCGCCTTGGAGATGTTCGGGCTGGAGAAGTGGGCCCTTGGCTGCTGGAAACTCGAACCCCGGGGACTGGAAGATGAGTTCGGGACAGCGTCCCCGCACCCTGTGGTCCGCTACCCGAGCCTCACTCTCGTCTTCCCAAGTGTTCGCGGTGTCTCCCCGAGGAGCGGAGGCGCACAGGTGCGCGCGCGCGCGTTCTGACCAGGCCTGTAGAGTCGCTGGGATGAGAATGCCCACAGCTTATTCCTCGGTTTCAGGGATGCTGGGCGTGAACTGCCAGGCGCACAGAGGAAATCACTCTTTCCCGCTGGGAGAAAGTTTGTGGGTATGGGGTCCCGGGCACGGACGCAGCTCTTCACTCGCCCTCTGGCGAGGGGTGTTGCCTCTGCTTCCTCGCGCCCACTCCATTCAAAGTCAGGCAAACAGCGCCCTCTAAGGGCCGTCCTCCGAACCAAACTGCTGCAAGGCGGGAGAAACCGGCCTCCTCGCTACGCATTTAAAAGCCGCCGAGGTCGTAACCTTCCCGACTTTGGCAGGAGAACAAACGCGTTTCTTTCTCTCTGGGTTCTGGGAGAAGCGGGGAGTGAAATCGCGTGCAGGTCTCTTACCGGCCGCCCTAGCATGTGGTCTCGCCTGCCTTTCACCCTCATCCCCCCTTTACTGCCCCTGTGTTAGGGTCCATTTCATGTCCCGCTGGTAACTGACCCCTGCGGTGACCATGCTGATGCAGGCTAGACGCGAGCTTCTTGGACGGTGTGTGTGTGGGGGGGGGGGGGGGGAGCTGTCTTTCTTGTCTTCCCAGGACTCAGGGCACAGTTGGCCAAGTGTCAGCACCTGAGGGAACGGATACAGGATGAATTCACAGTTCCCACTGCAGCGGATTTGCCTAGTGGATTCTGCTCCTTCAGACAGCCTGAGCACATCCAAAGCAGTTTTTAAAAAGTTAAATGAGCCCTGGCCGGTTTGGCTCAGCAGTTAGAGCGTCGGCCTGTGGTCCAGAGAGACCCGGGTTCGGTTCCTGCTAAGGGCGCGTACCTCGGTTGCAGTTTGTCCCAGGCCCTGGTTGGGTCCTGTGGGTTGCAACCACTCAATGTGTCCCTTTCATGTTGATGTTTCTCTCCCTCTCCCTCTCCCTCTCCCTCTCCCTCTCCCTCTCCCTCTCCTTCTCCCTCTCCCTCTCCCTCTCCCTCTCCCTCTCCCTCTCCCTCTCCCTCTCCCTCTCCCTCTCCCTCTCCCCCACTCTATCTGAACAAAAAATGGAAAAATGTCCTTGGGTGAGGATAAAAAAAAAGTTCAATGTGTCCTTTGGTGACACATTGCACCGAACCTAAAGGAGCCCCCTGGACAGGACCACTGCAGGGGACCTTCCCAGACACCACTCCTGTAGAACCCGGAGCCCGGGGGCAGAGGGGCCCCAGAGAACACTGGTGATTGATGACACCCAACTTTTACACGAAAGAATGAGGTCTGGCATAGGAGCACTTAGGAGGGCTCTCTCGCCTCCCACCCCTCCCCCAAGCCCACCACATGCTCAGAGCACAGACACATGCACGCACGCAGACAAGTCAGTAAGCGGTGGCTTACTGACTGCCAGTAACAGACAGACGAGCAAACTGAGGCACTGAGAGTGTGAAAGGGGACAGAGTACTGAGCACATGTGGCCTCAGAAGGTTCCCCAGGGGTGAGGAGCATTTCCACACTCTCTAAACCCGCCTCCCCTTCCTGCCATGGGTCCTTCTTGGAATTGCTTCCCGGGATGGCCCAAGTACTCACCCAAGGAGTGGGAAGGGCTGTGTAGGGTTTTGGCCAAGGCTGCCTGCCAGTAACAGCCAGAGTTTGCACTGGGCCTGAGCGGCAGATCCTGGATTTGTGGGCAGAGGACAAACACCTGGAGAAGTGATCCCCGGGAAGCCCTCCAGGCTGCTGTGCTCGGTCCTCTCGCCGGGAAGTTCTCTCCCACCTGGTCCACCTGGTCCCTGTGGCCGGGAAAGATCCCTCCCTCCCTTTGGCTGATGACTGGCTCTGGGAACATGCCCAGCCCTCAGGAAGGTCATAGCCCTGCTGTCCTTGACCACACACACATCCTGAGTCACATACAATGTCCTCAGAGTGGCCGAACATCTAGCCCTTTCCTGAGAGCATCAGCGAACAGTCACTGAGCACCTGCGACGTGCCAGGCACTGTAGCCTGGTGGGCAGGCACCAGGATTGTTTCTCTTTGACAGACCAGCAGACTGAGGCACTGAGAGTGTGACAGGGGACAGAGTACTGAGCACATGTGGCCTCAGAAGGTTGCCCCAGGACAGGGCTGGCATTCAGTAAGCGCTCCGTAAGTGCTGACTCTGCCTTCGCTCTGCATGAGCCCAGGTCGGGCCAGAACTCCATTCTCCTGTGGTTTCCCTGAGAAAGCTGGTGCATCTTACAAGGGAGGGGGCTGGGCTTGCCCCCGTGCCTCCAGGGGGCCTTACTCTATGATCAAGGCTCGAGCCAGCTCCCCGACCCCCATCCTCCTGTCTTCTGAAAACAGTCTTTCTCCCCACACCAAATCTCTTACGTGCAGTTGTTTGCAGATCGCGTTCCATCTTCAGAGTGCTCAT